AACTCTTAAAGGATTATTATACAAAGCTTCCTAGTATATGAGTGATTTAGAATTAAATATTACTAAAGCTAAATTCTCTTATTCTCAGCTTCTGGGGGAAAAAAAAAAAGTCTGATTTCTAATTCTGGCTGTTCCTGATTTCCTGATTGTTGAAATGCATCTTTTCAACTTCAGTTATATGATTTCTCATGTAAGGTGTGTTAGCTTGGTAAATTAAGGCCTTTTCCATTGTATTTGGGCAGGTTTAGATGCTGTGCTCACTGGTTCTATCACTGTCACTGCCACTGTCAAGTAAAGAGAGGTCACTGTCAAGTAAAGAGAGGTCACTGTCAAGTAAAGAGAGCCCAGGTAACATGCAAGCCATGCATTTGGGCCCTCAAGTGGTGAGGAGTACTTATTTCCTCTCTCTGCTTATGATTTCATGGTCCAAATCATATTTTTTATAATTGTTCTTGCAACAGAAGAGTATTTTACCCCTTGCCATCTCAGGGAGAGACCTCAGTTTACAATAATTTACAGTAGTAGCTACTGTAGTAGCCTCAGCCTCCTCTCACTGTTGGTCCGTCTATATCACCACACCTCTTCCCCCTTAACACACACAATTGAATGTCCTGGCTCTTGCCATCTCATAAGGAGACATGTGGAAGTGGGGTAGCACTTGTGACCCGTTATTAAGATAGGGACCAATAAGTTTTGGGATGTAGACGGTATCACTCCTGCTGGGTAGCCAATGGATGATGTACTGGCCCCTACAAAAGGGAAATTCTTATCAATCATAAGCGGGAAGAAACACTTGTAAATCTTAGCTATAGATCACTGTATTGTGGTCCCTTGATTAGAGAGGAGTGGAGAGTGATATAGCTGGACATAAGACGCAGGTAGAATCAAGGACTCAAGTATCTCCAGGGCTCTCTTGCCTTTTCTGTTTACTTCACTCTGCATGCAGACTAGCTTCTTCCACGTGGTGAGAGATGTGGCTGGTTTTGGTATCAACCTTACATCTCAGGAATGCCAACACTGGGGCCAACTCTTCATTAGCGTCTGTTTGAAAAATCCTCATGAAAAGCTATGATTGGTCCACTTCAAGCCTGGACCAATTAACTGTGGCCTGGGGATGGAGTTAGGTAGGAAAATGGTTCATTCTGAGGTGGTGCTGTCCCTGAGTAGGGCAGAACATTCATGTGATGAGGGGAAAATGGACACTGTTCAGATGGTTCCATGGGTGTTCACTACACAAGTAGAGAAGACTGGATATAGTTACAGATGTCATATGTTAACTGACTCAGTTAAAATTTTGAATTTGGAAAATTTGACTCTCTGATCATTAGCTCCAATATACAGTCATACAGCCTGAACTCTACAAAATCCATATGGTTAGGGCTTGGCCCACACCATTCCATCTACTGTTTATGGCTTCTTCCCACCCTAATATTTGGGTTCCCTATTCCTCTGATTGGTCTGAGTCCAGTGGATCCAACATGGTCCTGAGGCCCTGAACATCTGTGTCAGCTCTCCTGTGAGGTCTGAACCCTGGCCTCGTGGGCAGTGTGTGGCTGCTTCCAGCCTCCTGTCCACTCAGTCTCTCTGTATCTCTCTTGCTCTTGATTTACTTTCTTTACCCTCAGATATCTCACTCTTCATACCAAGTATCTGAAATTCCTTGAAACTTGTTTTCTTCACTCACTACTTTTGTGACCTGCTTCAACCTATTTTCTCTTCTTGGGCTTCCTAGAATGGCACATATTGTTGGAAAAAAATGCACCAGTATACAGAGTTATGAAACTGAAAAATCTGTGGTATCAAAACTCTGAGAGCCTTTCCATGATTTGCAATCAAGCTGCTTCTCACTTGGCTCTCCTTCATACTGCTCACAGCAACTGAGCAACACATTTATCCTACATGCTAAGCTGCTATATGTTACACAGCACTTGTTACCCAGCACAGAGCAGGGAAACAATACAACACTTATTAAATCCATGAATGAGTGAATTATTAACTAAATAAAAGTCTTCAGGCTGAGTGCGGTGGCTCACACCTGTAATCCTAGCACTTTGGGAGGCTGAGGCAGATGGATCACCTGAGGTCAGGAATTCGAGACCAGCCTGGCCAACATGATGAAACCCTGACTCTACTAAAAATACAAAAAGTTAGCTGGGCATGGTGACGGGCACCTGTAAACCCAGCTACTCGGGAGGCTGAAGCAGGAGAATCACTTGAACCCAGGAGGTGGAGGTTGCAGTGAGCCTAGATCATGCCATTGCACTCCAGTCTGGGCAACAAGAGTGAAACTCCATCTCAAAAGTAAAACAAAACAAAACAAAACAAAACAAAATAAAATAAAATAAATAAAGTAAAATAAAATAAAATAGAATAGCCCTCATTCACCAAGCCAACTCACTGTACTTGAAAAATGATGTCACTGAAGTCCAAAAAGATGAATTTCCACAGTGAGAAAGAGCCAACATTAAAAATCTGACTAGGCTTTTTTTCCCCCAAAAGCTTAGAGTGAGGTAAACTTTAATATTACGTATATTGAAATTTACACCTCAGAAATGGGTGTAAATGGGTGTATATTGAAATAAATATTTCAATATAAATGTAGCTTTTGCATTCTGTTGGGCACCTAGATCTCTATGGTAAATATTCTTTTCTGTATGTATTTTTTAAATGCACCAAAAATAAGGAGTCTACCTAACTTGTAAATATGTTCATGAAGAATACATAATGGCATCCTATCCTAACATTTTGGTCAGTAGGGTCTCAACTCCAATATTAGGTTGATTTCACTGAAAAAGGAAGAATAATCATCAAGGTTAGTAACATCTATTTCACAAGTAAGATGGGATAAAATCCCAACATAATTTGATGAAATTAAAATGCAAATGAGGCATGGAACATGTTATTAACACCATTAATAAATATATGATATAGGGAATATCTAAATACAATTATTTATCAGAAATTTTGTCAACTATAAACTATGAAATAGTTCAGCAAGTTTAAGATGATTACAATCACTTGGATTAAAATGACTATTGAGCAGGGCACGGTGGCTTACACCTGTAATCCCAGCATTTTGGGAGGCTGAGGCGGGCAGATGACCTGAAGTCAGGAGTTTGAGAGCAGCCTGACCAACCTAGTAAAACCCCATCTCTACTAAAAATACAAAAATTTGCCAGGTGTGGTGGTACGTGTCTGTAATCCCAGTTGCTTGGGAGGCTGAGGCAGGAGAATTGCTTGAACCTGGGAGCTGGAGGTTGCAGTGGGCTGAGATCATGCTACTGCACTCCAGCCTGGGCAACAGAGTGAGACTCTCTCAAAAGACAAAACAAAACAAAACAAAAAACAAACAACAAAAACAAACACACAAAAAAATCCTCAACTATTGAAAAAGAAAGAAAGAAAGAAAAAAAAGAACAGTTATAAAGCCGACCTGGAGGGATTTCCTATAGGATGATTATGCTATAATTTAGGATAAGGTAAAATTTATTTTTTTGAGGTGATCGTTTGTGAAAATAGTAAAGGACCTTTGGGATGAGTGGCTGGCATTACATTAATGAAATTAAAAATAATATAAATTATATAAGGCATATGGAACCATATTTATTCACAAAAACTTTATATTTAGGAATGCGAGAGTAATATAGTCTGCTTTGTGAAAATTCTGCCCAGTGGCCAAGGCCTCTTTCTGAGGCGACACCCCCTTGCCCACAGCGACCATCAATTATTTTATGCATAACTCCAACCATTTGGCCACAGTTTATTGAGCCATTCAGTCTGCCCTGTATGAACTTCAGGAGCATTGACATCCTTTAAATAGAAGAATGAAGCAACTGTCCAATGGGAGCAGAAATGTTAAAGTACACTTTTCAGGCACAATTGCATCCTGGCCCTTGCATACGGCAACTGGATCCTTATAGTAAATCTCTTTTCTGTTAAATTTAAGCTGGGTGTGGTGGCTCATGCCTGTAATTCCAGCACTTTAGGAGGCCAAGGTGGGAGGAACACTTGAGGCCAGGAGTTTTGAGACCAGTTTGGGGAGTATAGTGAGACTTCCATCTCTATTAAAAAAATCAAAAATATTAGCCAAAAGTGGTGGAGCAGGCCTGTAGTCCCAGCTATTCAGGAGGCTGAGGTGGGAGGATTACCTGAATCTAGCAGTGGGAGGTCGCAGTGAGCCGAGATCACACCACTGCACTCCAGCCTGGGGGACAGAGTGAGACCCTGTCTCAAAAAAAAAAAAAAAAAAAAAGTTCATATGTGTATTTTAGTTGCACCACTTCTAGGAGTATGGGAAATTTCTCAGATTCACATACTTGAATGCTCATCTCAGTGTAATTTATAACACTGAAAAATCAGAAAAAAGCTCAATTTTCCAATTTGGTGTCTAGTTAACTGTATCAGGGTATGTCCATATTTTGTAGTATTATACAAATATTAAAATGTTTTAGAAAAATATTTAATTGGGTAAGAAACTACTATGCCATGACATTAAGGGAAAAATCTGTATACAAAGTACTATACACATCATGACTTCAATATCAGGATTGACACATGTATGTGTGTATAATGAATGAAAAAGTAGAAAAAAAAGTTCCCAAATGTTAAAATAATGATTTTTGACTGGGGAAGCTAAACATGACTTTTATTTTTATGTTATTCTACATCTTCTAAATTTCCTGCAATGATAATGTATACAACTAGAAAAATTCTGTTATTAAATTACTAGTAAAATAATGTATTGTTCTAGCATTATAGCAAGAGTTAATTTTTTTCTTTGTTATGTGAAAAGCTGAAAAATTCAAAACGATGTGTTTATTCCATGTCATGCAGTAGAACAAAATGTTTTTATCTTTTCAATGGCAGGATAAAAAATCTATAACCAATAGTATTAAACTATCAGTTGTATCAAAATTTAAACAAAAATATATTCATATCATTCAAGGTAGTCTTATGTTAAAATAAATTAGTATCTATTTTAAGTAATGAAGATAAATACATTGCAATAAAATTATTTTATTTTAAAGTAAATAGAACTTTGCCAAATTTTAATCAATTAACAGCAGTTCAGATATAGATATACATATACATATATGTGTAGAATATATACTTTTTTAAAACAAGAAGGCATACTTTATGATATATAATCTTTTTACCACAAACTATATACACTTCTCAGATATTAAATCAAACTAATATACTAGGAAGACACTACTACTTGGGACCCGCGCAGCACCTTTACAAGTAGTTGAACTTTTATATGTGACTTTAGTAACACCATTATACAAATAAGCCATCTTACGGGCATTGTTTTGGCAGTGTAAACCTATAAGACACAGGTTGAATTTCACAAAAAGATCTGAAACTTGACAACTACTGCTTAGCAAATCTTTGTACAAAATGTGCAGTAATAGGTGCAAGTGTGGCACAGTTGCTAATAGCTAAAAACAGGCACAAAAGCTTTACTGCCCTTTGGAAATTGGACAGAACAATCTTGAACTCTCATTTCCTGTTGCTCCTCTAACAATTTAATATGTTCTAAATACCTTTATGTGGAAATAAAAAAATAACAGGACAAAAGCAGACTAGGGAGATTGCATTTCTGTCAGTAAAATTTCTCAAATCAACACATTCAATGAGTTTCTGACATTGTTCTTCGAGCAGCCGTCATCTGTCTAATGCAAAATGTGGCTTTGCTGTGTCTTGTTGCAAAGGGAAAGAAAAGCTTTTGTTCAGAGCTTTAGAAAAGTCAGTTCAGTCCACATAATCCATTTTCTCCTTCAATTCTGAAAAGCAGCTAATGCTCATTTGGTAGTGAAGTGCTGCCGAGGAATGTTCTCTTGCTCCTTCTTTCACAAAATTACTTTATGGACAGGTTTCGAACATGTCACTCAACCTCAAAACATGGTGCAGGCTTCTTGGTGGATGAGCTTGCATTATCTGAGGGGCGGTAGGAAAGCGTGCTCATTTTTGTTGAAAGGTTTGAGTGGGATTTGGCTTTTGGGGGAATGTATTTTAGAAGCTGGAGAAAATATTTTTTAAATTTTTTCCCCAGAAAGCCATAAAAAAGAGGATTCAGGCAATTGTTAAAATAAGCTATACAAATGGTGATGGGCATGGCTGTGTCCACAATATCTGAAATTCTACAGTCACATATGATGCCTAGTTGAATCAATACATCCAGAAAAGTGAATATTTGGTGGGGAATCCAGGAAAAGAAAAAGAAAAGCACAATTGCCATAATTATCTTAAAAATATCATCATTTCTTGGTTTGTTCTTCTGAATTTCATAAGCCTTCTTTAGGGCCTTCCAAATAAGAGTATAACTTGTAAGAATGATCAGAAAAGGAAACAGGAAACCCAGTATATTTTTGGTCAGGCCCAGTCCTATCGGAAGGGTTGAATTTTGGGACTCATAATGGAAAGCACAAACTGTAATATTGGTGTTCTCAATGAAAAATACATTTCGATGGATTATAGCTGGCAAACTGGCCAAGCCTGCCAGCAGCCAAATGACGATGCAGGTGACTTTGGCTACAAGCATTGTGCGTCGAAGGCGGGACTTCATTGGGTGAACAATAGCCAGGTATCGATCAATGCTGAGACACGTGAGTAGGAACACACTAGCATACAGGTTGAAACTGACGCTGGCTGAAGCAATCTTACATAGGTAATTGCCAAAGGGCCAGCGGTATTCCATAGCTGTGTAGACAGCCCATAGTGGCAAAGTCAGTAAAAAGCATAAGTCAGCCAGTGCTAAATTCAAAAGAAAAACACTGGCCACAGTCTTCAGCTTCATGTAAAAGTAAATGACTATCACCACCAAGCTGTTTCCAAATATTCCCACCACAAAGATGATACTGTATAAAGTAGGAATCATGACAAATATGTAATTATGCCTTCCAGCTTTGGGACAATCGTCTTGGATTCTTTTAATACCATCTTCGGTAGAAGAGTTGAGAATCATTTTGATCTCCTGGGTCGAATTTGTCACAAACACTATATCAAATGCACCTGGGGAAAATAAAAATAAAATGGTAAAAATAATTCTTGTTGTAAACAAACAAATGAACATTCATGTCTCAGTCATAAACGTAGTAACTCAACTTTTGTCTTAGGAAAAAATACTAGATCATATTTCCTAAGGAAACTCTGTGAACTGATAAAGCCTAAGAATGCACATTTAAATTTTAGAACATAATTGCTTTTGTAGAAAATGGTAAATATCATCCAGAGAAGTGAAATTGGGGTTCTGTGTGAATAAACCTATCCTTTTCCTTTTTTCTATAAGTAAATCTTAGTTTCCAAATTGATTAAAAACATAACCTACATCTTAGAAAACACTACTGAATTAAATTAGTTTTTCAGAAAGACTTGAAAGTTTTTCCTGAGGTAAGCAGGACCAATTCTTTTATCATTAACTCAGAAGTGTGACACATTCATATCGTATTCTTTAAATCATTTCTTTCCTCTCACAATCTTTAATTAGGTATAAAGATTATAAGTATTCTCCCTTAAGTGGTCAGAATAGTTGCCTTTAGGTGACTGACAAATTGGTCACTGTGGCAATTGATTTAAGAGGGGTAGGAGGTAGGGCTCAATTTTGAGGAACAGGATTTTTTCCATTGTTTTCCAGGCCTCTGCAGTCAGTAACTATGTATTCTTTAACTTCCAACTCAGTCTAGCAAAAGTGCATGAATCTTCTAACCTTCATATCTGCCAGCCATTTCTGAAGTTAACCCTGTGGTTAACCATTTGTGTAACAAAGATGTCAAATGAATAGGTTTGGCCAGGACTATCAAGAAAGCATGTCTTTACTGAGGGCTTGAGAAAGCAGCAGGTTTTCTGGAATTCTGGGAAGAATCAGATGCTCAGGAATGAACTGCACGAAGCCATGCAAATATTTGCTCTGATTTTCTACATCATCAACAGTCAAGCTATTCATTTATGTGATTTAGAAAATCAACACATTCTGCCCTGGATAAGAGTCCATCAGGAAGTCCCAGGAAGGAGGCTGAAAGTTCAGCGAGAGTGACGTCACCAAATGTAGTACAGCCACACTCTGAGGTGAAAGTTAGCATTGGGCACAGGCCAGGACAGCTAGGTGAGCAGTGGTGCTGGGCACACAGATCCTATTGCTCTACCAGGAGCAGGTCCCTAGATGAACATGACTGAGCATTCTCTTGTAACAGCATGCCCTGGGGAAAAAGAGCAGCAGAAATAGGACACCACTGCCACGCCAAGCATGGTTTGTTTGGCATTCAGGAGAGCTGAACACATGTTCTTAAAGTAGTGTTCACTTTGGTGCAAAGGGATGCTGTGCAGGGGATACAACTCCAGTAGTCAGCTTTTAAGACAGAACACATGTGAGGGAGTTCTTAAGTGGCCTCTTCGCCTTCGCTGAGTAAATGAAGTTGTTCTCCCTATGTAAGTTTTTGGTTGCATGTCCTCGTTATTGTTCCTTTTTGGTATCCAGCTTATATAATGTACATCTTTTTCTTCTTTGACTCATGGGGACATTGGTACCCACAAACAGGTGCTATCTACCCTAAATGTCACATCTTTGGTAAAGCCTTCCCAACTTTTCTGAGCCCTTTGACACTTTGGATGTAGGTTTGACACTGTCTTTTTTTTTTTTTTTTTTTGGAGACAGAGTCTCACTCTACTGCCCAGGCTGGAGTGCAGAGCTGTGATCCTGGCTCACTGTGACCTCTGCTTCTCAGGTTCAAGTGATTCTCGTGTCTCAGCTTCCCTAGTAGCTGGGACTACCAGTGCATCCCACTATGCCCAGCTAATTTTTGTATTTTTAGTAGAGACGGGGTTTTGCCATGTTGGCCAGGCTGCTCTTGAACTCCTGACCTCAGGTGATCCACCCGTCTCGGCCTCCCAAAATGCTGGAATTACAGGCATGATCCACCGCACCCGTCCTTGACACTTTATTGTAATCATCTGTTGACATATCTGTCTTCTCCACTGGTCTGTCAGTTGCTTGTGGGGAGAGCCTGTTTAAAATTTACTAGATTTACTAGTGTTTACTTGTTTCCTTGTTTACTGGTGTAGGCCCTGATACATTCCAGGAGGCAGATGATAAATGTCTCATGAATGAGTGACTGAATGGACAAATGAATGGGTGAGCAGCATAGAACTTACAGCTATGAATGCAGCGTATTGAGACTAATTTCTGTGAAATCACGTGTTGCTCCTTGAAGAGTTTCACAGAGAATACTCAGTGTCAACCTGGGCCTCACCTTGGAAAAAAAACAGAAACAAAAACAAAACAAAATAAACAGGTAGAAAATTCCTTGGTGCTTTTAGAAACTTGTGGTTTAGAAAACAGAAGATGAAAAGAAGAAATAACAGAAACTAGGGCTAGGCTTTTAGGGAGGTATGACTAGTTCTTCCTCACGCAGAGGATTTCCCTATAGCTTGTAGATTTTCTAGTTCATCTTATTATTGTTTCGGAACTTATGCCAACTTAGAAGTATACATTCATTTATATAAACACATATTCTTTATTAAAAATTAATTAGTCATTAAAGGGTTATGGCTAGCAGTCATTTGTGCCTTAATGTGGATTAATTTACCTATTTGCTATCCTTTTAACCATCTAGTAGAGATCAGCTGGATTTTGCTTAGAAAAAGAATTAGTAATGTAAAGGTTAAGGAACCTCGAAGGTTGAAAAGGGCCTGGGTGAACTCCATAACTGAAAATGAGGGCAGAGGTAAATATTTGGTTCAGCTTGGGAATAAGGGCAGTAAAAAATAGAAGGGAGTACATTTTATGCTGTAGAAGCCCTTGGGTGCCCTGTGCTGTGAGAACAGGGAGGAAATTTTCTTCTCTTTCTTCTCTCTACTCTTGACTCTACTTTGACAGCACACAACTCATGTGGGTTCCATTAATCCTACGTTTGGAGTGAGTAGAATTTTATTAACTAGTCTCAAACTATAACTAGTATTCATAATACAATTTCTGTGGGAAAAAGTCTGCCTTTGTGACGATCAATTTATAAGTATAGTTCTGTACTCCAACTCCTTCACAAGCTATCAACCTTTTTTTTTCAGTTACCATTGATTCATATTGACTGGTATTTAATATATAAAAGGTTGCTTTGAACAGCTAGGGGATCATCCCTGGAAACTTTGGTGAGTTATTATTACCTCAATGAGAATTCACTTGAAAGAATCTGGACATAGCATGGAATATACCAATTAGAAGAACATTTTACATAAATGTTTGTATCATTACCAGGACTCCCCACACAATAAGGAAACAAATTTTTTCATACTCGAGGGTAGAGGAAAAAGGGAGAAGAATTTTAGGCGATAGAAACATTAGAAGGAAGCACAAGGAAGGAGCAAGGCAAATAGCACATTCAGTGGGTATTCATCAACTCATCATATATTCACTGAACCCCTACTATGTGTGGGTGTCCAGGATGCAAGGGGAATAAAGTCACAATTCTCCTCTAGGAGTCTAGCCAGGGGGACAGGAGCCTTAAAGGCAGTATTATCTCTAGTGTGTTGAATGTTATATCAGAGGCATGTGGAATACTCTGTGTTTATCACTGACCCAGATTGGTGGGGAGAGTGGGGTTTGGGGGAAGGATGGCGAGAGGGCAGTGGGGGTGGGGAGAGGGATCAGGAGATGGCACCTGGAAACCAGCCAAGGTGGAGTAGAGATGGTGTCATTGCTGGAACTTTCCCCTCCTTACTAATGCCTGCAGCATCATCTATGGGAAACAGCTCTCATAAATTAATAGATATTGCACAACCCTCTTGGGGGTGTGGGATCTGGATGTGCACTGGGTATTTCTAGATGGGAGAGTGACACAGGTCATTTCCCAGTCTGCATTTCTGCTACTGATAAGCTTCCCTCGAGAAATTTGTTTCTAAGGAAAGAAATAAAGATGGGACTTTTGTGATTGGCAGTTACTTTAGATTGATGATAAATGACTGGGAAACAGTGGGGCTCTTTTTTCTTTGAAGCTGAACAGATGCTGGTTTGGTGGGAAGTTGAAGGAGAGAGAGATGTGATTGACTAGAAAAACCAAATTTGTGAGATCTAGAAAGCAGCTATGTTTCAGTCACATCCTGCTTCTTTTCCCAGAAGAGTTATAGGCAGGTAGAACACTGATTAAAAACAAAGGAGGATCCACCTCTTCCTATTTTTCCTATGTTTGGTCTTACTATGCCTTTTATCCAAGCTCTGTGGCTTGCATGGATTCCATAGCACCATTTCCCCTTAGGGAAAGGAAGATGAATTTGGGGTTGGAAGACTTGAAATGGAATCTTCCTTTGCCACGTACACATCTGTGTGGCTCTGGGTAAGTCATCCAATTTCTCTGAAAATGACCCTCAGTTTTTTTTTTTCATCTGTAGGAAACAAGAACAGTGATATTTATTGCACATGATCTTTGTAGGAATAAAGTGACATAATGTGAAAGCACTTGGTATATCTTTCAAATAGTACTTAATGAATATGTTTTACTCAAATCTTTACTATTATTTTTTGAATGCAAGGCAAACATTGACTCAGAACAGCCATGGGTTAAGAAAGCATGAGAGTAAAGAAAAATGTTTATCATAGTTAAGTTCCTTCCGTTGCCATTAAAAGTCTAAAAATTCCAGGCTGCTGTTCTTTTGAAGTATGAGTAAAAAATAATCTTAAGCAGCTGAATAAATTTGCCGTGAGTCAGGTGGGAACCTAAGTCTGTGGCAAACATAGGTGTTGGCTCATTGTGGCCAAACCACATTTATTTAACAATTGCTTTTGTAAGAGTTACCTTACATCCTTCGACAGCTTTCCTGGTTCTTAAAGCATAAGAATGAAGATTTTCTTTCCTTTTTTTATTGTAAGAATGCTTTCCCAAGACTTTTGATTAGAATATTAATACCTTCTTAAGCTTTTAGGCACGCCAAAACCAATCTAATTAAATTGTTCATTACAAGCTCTTTTTAAAACTAGTTTGCAATCTAAAGAAAAAAAAATTCCCCATAGTGTCCTATGATAATAAAGAGAGAACTAAAAGACCAAGTAATTATATTTTGAAATAATCTTCTATCAAAGTATCTCTCTCAAGCATCACAAAGAGTAGGCCAATGTTTGTAAGCCATTTGCTTACAGTGCTGGACAGCTCAGTAAACCATCCTGTTCAATAAACCATTGTCTTTATTGTTCCTATTTTGTAATTCAGACGTAGAAAACAACTGTTTCTGCTCTTATATCGCTTCCCCTGCCCCCAGCCACCAAGTAAGGCCACAGGAAATAACTGTTAGGTATTCACTTGTGAATTCATTGACTCATAGAAATTGGCACTAATATTTTTAGGGTTTTTACTCGTTTCTTTTTCAGATCTGCTTGTTTTTATTTCTTAGCCCTCTGTTCCTATTTTATGAAGTCTACTTCTTCTTTTATTTTCCTTAACATTTTCAATATCTGTCTGTTAAGAGCCTCTACCCAATTGCTTTACTATTTATAGTTCCTCCGGTATAAATTCTATTTATTGCACCTATGGACACTGTTTCTTGATAATGGACTTCCGCTTAGGTTTTGTAATCTTTGACTGTGTTCATTTTTGGTGGGAATTAACTTGCTTGGGAAGACTGAGTGTTGGGATGATGGTGGCCTGTGAAACTTCAGCTTGGGGGTACAGCACTCCCTTGATCTGGAAGAGTTTATAATGCTCATTTCTGAGCTTAGTTTTCAACCTTATATATATATATATTTGCAGATACTATACATTTGTAGTATTTAGTAGCTTAGTATCTATACCACTCTCAAACTCTCTCTGGTCTTCAGAAGTTTTCTAGTCTTTCATCATGAATAGGCAGTGATTTTTCAGTTCCTGGCTTTAATCGGGAAACACAGCTTAAATTGCTTTCAGTACATGTGCCTGGTGGTCCTGACTTTCACACTGCCAAAGTCACTGGAACTTTATGTCAGCTGTGTATCTAGTGTTAGTCCTGATCTGGCCCAATGTGGTCTTAACTTTTATTCAGAGCTGTGATCTGGTATTTTGTATTTAAGGCAGGAAGGGCAGTTTCCATGCCTGCTTCATCTATTTCATCTCTACTGAGGTTGCCCTACATGTTATTTGAAGGTGATAATTTCCAAATAAGTTGCTTAAACCTAATAGCTTTGGATTATAGTCATGGCTTTTGATGAAGTATTTGAGCCTTTACAGGTTATATTTACCTCCATGCGGGAATCCTGGCAGCCACGAAGAGGGAAGCATGGCAGACCGCCTGGCACCATGGGGCAAGAGACAAGTATTGCTTTTAAGTCAGATGCATAGGAGAATGCCATGCTCTTGGTTGGTAATCCTAGCCTAACTTCATGTTAAATGATTTATTTGGAGATGATTTTGTCCACCCCTGCAATTTCTGAGTGAATAGTTCTCAATGCAAAATATTTTATTAAAATTACTAATATCATTCTAATTAAGTATTTAAGATCCAATCTCCTCAAACTTAATAAATGACTCTCTGATATGTGTACATGGTAAATAGTGACTTCTGGTCCTCTTCCCAAGTCATTATCATCCACTGTTGTCTGACCTCACAAGAAATAAAAACAAGGCAAGCTGCTTTATTAATTCTGCATGTACCAATTGTGACTAACTGTAGAAACAGTGGTTAAATGTTCCATCATTTCCAACCAGCCCTCCCCTTTGTTTCATCCAAAATAACTAAAAACCCAAAGAACCCAGTTTTATGAAAGGAAATTCAGAAACTTTATAATTTATAATAAAATTTATATTCAGGATATGAATTAAAATGAGAGTAAAATGTTAATCCCACATTTTAGCTTCTTGGGAATTATTCAAGACTACCGTCTGATAATGAAACTCTAAACTACAATTAAACTTCTCTAAATTCTAAAAGTTCCTACTTACTATAAATTAAACAACTCAGTTGTGATGAATGTCCCAATCCCTCACACCCACATCACTATCCCAAATTCTTAGCTGTTTTTGTTGTTTTTATTTTATTCCAAAAAGTAAAGAGAAACAGGTACCAATGAAAGATACATGATCAAGTCTAATTCACATGCTTTAAACATCTTTCTTTGACATGTTGGTGTTAGTAGAAAATACTCTCATGTTAAATATGAAAGGCCATGAATGGCTTTCCAGGGTGTCTGGAGAGAGGAGACTCCAGAGACTAGGAGAAAAGGAAAATAAAACCTAACTTGGAAGAAGGCCTGTAAGTAAATGAACCCCTGTCCTCTTACACTTCTAAATTCTTCAAACTTATAGACTCAGAATTTTCTCACAAGAATTATCGCCACATTTCAATGGATTAGTATCTCAGCCATCATGGGGAGGAAACATCATTTTTAATAATATGGCTCTTGGAGACTACTCACAAGCTTTTCTTTTCAACAGAGAAAAGGGCAGCACCAATGTGGGCTTAGTCAATAACAGTTGCTTCATCCAACTTCTGAACAAAACCACAGATTTTGTATATGAAGCCACCTCACTTTTATTTCTCTGAAACTTCAATTCAGCAGCAGCAACTGTTTATCTCATTTCAAATTCCATTTTAAGGGGCGTGAGGAAAGTTATTGGGCAGGAAAAGAGGTACTAATTAATTTGCACCCTTAAGAAATTATGATAATATTAGAGAATTTATATGTATTATGAGTTTTATGTTAGGGTTATTGGCCACATGGTAATTCATTTTAGATTAAAGCTTTTAACATGATACAAGCCACATAACCATAAATTTTAAATGAAGCTAGAATATCGATATACTGTACGTTTCTCCAAATTGCTCAATGTTCTGATTGCAGAAGAAATATTCTTTAATGATAGTCTGCAAATTGGTGGAAAATGTGGGAGCAGACTGAGGTTCTAATTTTAGCTTTCCCACTCACTAGATGGGTGACCCTGAAGCTGTCATTTAGCTTCCCTAGACCCCTGTATCCTCAGGGAGTTGGTTATACTCTTAAAAAAAATTTCTGAAGCATGAACTTTTATAATCCTTCCTTTGAACAGGTATGCATCTTTTGAAGAGAAGGGCAAAATTGCTTGACAAGTAGAATAACAACAATTTCAAGAATTATAACAAGGCAGTTGATTAATGCTGTCATATATTGTTAAATCAGCTATCTATATAGATATTTTTAATCCCACACTGATTTAATAATATTCTATATTAAACACCAGAACTTTTTGTATTAAAACAACAAGGTGAAAAAAATTTACTGTTTACTCAAGATGAATAAAGAAACTCAACATAAGATGATCATAGTCACAGGTTTTTTTTTTCTTTCTTTTAAAAAATTAACTATTACTCAAAGAAATATTTTCCAGGCATATTTGGATAGCTGGTTGTGGTCCTAGACTAATGAGGTCAATGTTAAGAGTTTGGGCCCTATCTGGGCTAGTTTGTTTCATTCCATTTATGGCCAAAAGCTGTAAGCCTTTCAGACATGCCTTGTGTTATTTATTGACACTACCAGGTCAAACAATACAGTTTGGAACATGGCTGAAAATCAAAACTAAAAGCTTGCCATGAAGTTAGAGAGTTAAGATTACATGGTCCTGTGAAGAGAGGAGCACAATGTGACACTGTTAAAATACCATAGAAAATCAACCTATTCTGAAATTCTTTGTAAGAAAATACAACTTTTTGAAGTTTAGCAATTAGTTAATGTGGTCTAATTGCCCAGATAAAAACACAGAGGCGAGGGCAGAGTATTATAAGAGAACTTCAAGAGAAGATTTCAACATTCTGGAGAGTTAAAGGGCCTCTGTTCTAAGAAAACTAAAGCTGTAAGGGTCATGTTCATTTGATTTTATCACACAGTTTCCTTTTCTTCAAACACAGTTTTGTATGCATTATAGTTCTTTACTTTTTATTTATTTATTTATTAACATAAAAATGCTGTAAAAATTGAGGAATAGCAGAACAGCCTGGAAGAGAAAGCACTGGACTGCTGTCCTGGCAAAGAGTCTGCTCTGCCATAACCGGCAACACAATCTAATATTTCACTTTGTTTTCCTTTAAATATTACAAGATATTTAGAATGGGAATACCAACACCTGTTCTCACCTCTATTTCATGGACTGCTAAAAATAAAAAGTAAGTTCTTTGTAAGACATAAAAGCATTTTTAAAATGTAATTGTTCTATAATACAAGGGTAAGCAGAACGAATTAAATAAAGCTCAGACTTTCAAAATATTACTAAATTTTTTTATTCGGAAGTTCAGCAGAAATATTTTTCATTATTATGATAATGCTTTTATTTGAAGAATTATAATAAGGCACTTGATTAACCCTGAAAGAAAAGTAAAATAGTAGATATTGGATTGCTTCTACATTTAATACTTGTGACAGCAAATGTTTGGGTATAAACTGACCCCTTAGGGCAAATCTGATCAACGTATATATTTTCTTTAGTCCTCAGAGTATTACAGCTTTTGGGACTTGAATTTTCTGTAGTTCACTAATACCCCTCTATTTTATGGTTCTGTAGTTCAGTGCTGTCCAAAAGAAATAGAAAGTGAGACACATATATAATTGTAATTTTTCTATTAAAAACATTTAAAATGTAAAAAGAAACAGGTAAAATTAATTTTGATAAAATATGTAATCCAATATATCCAAACTATTGTCATTTCAACATGTAATCCACATAAAATTATTAAGATATTTCACAGTTTTTGTACTATGTCTTCAAAGCCCAGGGTATGATGTATGCTTCCAGGACACCTCAGTTACACTAGCCACGTTTCAAGTGCTCATCACTCTGGGGCTGGCTGCTGTACTGGAAGCACAGTGTAGGTGCTTTTACTCACAGAAGTCCCCTAGTTGGCCCCCTAGCAATGGTTCTGAAAGTGTGGTCCCTGAAACAACAACATCAGCATCACCCAGGAATTTGTTAGAGATGCAAATCTCTGGCCCCACCACAGACCTACTGAATCAGAAACTCTGTGGGTGGGGTTCAGCAAGCTGTGTTTAATGAGCCCTCCAGGTAATTCTGATACACACTAATATTTGAAAAGCACTGCCCTGTAGGCAACTTCATTTGCAACGCTGGCTTAAATGCTGATAATCCTGATTAACAGGCAAAACCAAATCCAACAAACAACAAAAGTACTCTCAGCTAAAATGTTTTCATTTAACGTTTATGAAGCATCAAAAACTGAATATGAGAAACTTACTCATTAAACTGCATATTTCTATTACACATTCAGGACTGGCATAAAGTGTGTCCAGCAGGATGTCATCTAGTAAAATCCCCTTTGCACCTGCTCACAGATATCTGAAATTCCTATAATTCAGGTAGGGTGGAATACCCACCTTCATACCTTCTCAGGCAGAACTAAGATCTACCTGAGATGAAACACAATGGCTCAGGTGAGAACCAGAGTTAAGACAGTGGGAAGAGCATAGTGATGGGAGCCAAAAGTTCTCAATCAAGCACATGATTTACCTCCTATGACCTGTGGAGCCTTTGGCCTGTCACTTGACTTGTGATTCACCTTCTTCATCTGGAAAATGATGATGACAATAATAATGTTCAGGATGAGCATGATGAAGTAGCAAGCATGTGTCCAGTTTGGTGCAAAACGCTGCTGGAAACACCGAATGAGATCATGGGTCTGGAGGTGCTCTGAGACCCTAGAACTTTGGGACTTTCGTTGGTGTTACTAGGTTCACACTGTGGTGTAAATGACTAATTTAATTTTTTTTTCCCTGTGAGTAAATTTGGATAAGAGAAATTGGGAAACTGCACGTGGTGCTAGAAGTGGAAGAAACTAAAGTAGGAGCAAGGGGTGGAAAGACTCAGAGAGGGGAGGCTGAAAGGCACTGCTGAGAGGCTGCTTGGACCAGACTGTTTTGCCAGCTCTGAGAATTCCTTTTGAGTATTACATAATTTTTAAACATAAATTACAGTGATATTACATCACTGTAATAAAAATACTTAGACCGTTCTATCTACTATTATCTACCACTCCATTTCTTTTCTATGTTAGGCTACTTGCATTTTCTAACTAAATAGCCTGTGATAAGAGACACCGATGCCAGGCCAATAAAAGGTAAACAACACTTTGCCAACTGAAAAATAAGATGAGCTACTGGTGACTGCTGCTTCCTGTGAAAACTTCATTAGCAATAAATGAGTTACCAGATGTCACACATCAGATTTGAAATTAAAATATATTCCCAGTAGTTGTGTGCTGTCTGAGCAGAAGCTAAAAATGAACTCTTTCCAAGAGAATTACATAAAATAATGCACCAGTTTTTGCCTTCTGATTGTTTGTTCCTCCTCTAAATGTAAAATAAAATGCACCTCCTGGGTTGTGAAGTGGAAATATAGCATTTCTGCATAGAAGGCTATGTAGGGAAGTGGCACATTACTCATATAGCAGTAACTCCTTAAGGACAGGAGAATTTTTTTAACATCCTGTGCCATACCAAGACCATCATCTCCTCTTGTTTTTAACTTTGCCATTGCAAATTCTCCTTTTCTTACCTTCACATTCAGCATGTGACTTCTGCTTTTATTACCAGCAACAAAACTGTTCGAGTCAGAAACTGTCAAACATGTTGACTCCACTCGTCCCGAATGCTGCTACAACCCTGTTAGTGCTTTTCTTTCTTCAGGAGATACTAAAACTCTCCTCTGGTTCTTCCAGCTAGCTAAGCTGAGACTCTCCTTGTTCTCAAAGTTACAAGTCTCCCATCCAAAAGTAATTGTGGTTAGGGAAGGAACCCCCCAGCAGGAAATAGAAGAATACAATTTCATTTGAGCCAGCAGAAATTTCAGATAAGCCAGTGTGATAGAAATATCTAACACTCTCTAGTTTTTATAAACAAATAATTTTGGCTGAACTTCTTCAGCCCAGTTCCTCTGCAGTTCCAAAATTTTTGCGGTTACTAGTTCCAGCTGAAGATCATGGTCACTTGAAATCATTTGTTTATTTTTTTCTCCTCGGTTAATTTTGGTTCTTATCTCCTGCCAGATAGGTGAAGCTTATAAATCAAATTAAGAGGGTAAAAGTGAATTATCATTCTCAATCCACCTCTTGGAGAAATATTTACATGGAACTTCTCTATACGTAGAAATTCCCTGAAGCATCTAACAGTTTATTTCTGGATCATTAACTACTCATCAGATGCTGGGGATGTGGAAGCTGCTGGCCTTTGCCTTTCACAAGGAAGATGGAACATTTTTGAGATTATTTCTATCAATGGGGAAAATGTCAATTCAATCTTTTCAGCTTCATAACTTTAGCACAAAATGACATACAAGTATTTAAGTTTTTTAATGTACCATTATTTTATACTTCTTTTTGTTTCTGCTGATTAATAGAAAGGACTTATAATAGTGGCTTAATGTTAGCAATAGTAACACTGATCACTTATTATTAATTGGATGCTTACTATATGCCAATTGTTGCATTAATTGCTTTCATTTCTACGAGAGATTTACGAGGGAAGGCATCATTATTCCCATTTCTCAGGTGAAGAAACAGGAATAGAGAGCAGGTCCTTACATTTTTGACATTCTGTAAGTAATGGTTTAAGGCTGTATTATTATTTTTATTTTTTGGTATGGTCATCTCTTCACACTCCAGTCTAGTGCACCTCAATCAGAGTGATTTTGTACTCCAGGGATATTTGGCAATGACTGGAGACATTTTTGATTTTCCCAGTGTGGGAGAGGGAGGTGTGGGGGTATTACTAGCATCTAGCAGGCAGACAAGTGATACTGCTAACCATTTTACAATGCATGAGACAGGCTCCCACACCAAAGAATTATCTAATCCAAAATGTCAATAGTGTTGCTACTGAAAAACCCTGCTCTGGTCCCTACTTTTTGTTCTAACCTTTGATAATTTGTATCTCTCACCTTTTATGGAATACATTAACTGTATACTGAATTTTATTGGAGGCTTTTATTTCATGCATTGTATCTTCCCAGGAAAACTACAGATCCCTCACAAAAGATAACATCCTATTGGGTAACCAAAGTCTAAAGCTGTGTTGGGTGCTTAGTGAGCGCTCTCAAACAGGGAGTTTACTAAATATCTGCTGTGTTAGATCATTCTAGAAATTACCCTCTGTAAGCATTTTTCATAACTTCAGGATTCTGCACAGATAGAGCCAACGAGGGAATTTGAGCTCAGATTCATCATTAGAGTTTCAGGAGATTGATGGATATTGTGGTGGCCCCAAGGTCCGCACTGAAGGGAGGAAGCCACCTAGTCCGGAAGTCAAACCCTGCCCTCTTGTGGTATCACTGCCATAGACACTTCAGGGAATCTGGCAGAGGGTCAAAGGGCATTGATCTGTATCCTTCCGGTCTGAACTGACTGCAATATTTAAGTGTAAATTCAGCTGTACATTCACATTAGGACTGTTCTTCTTTGTGGAACAGTACATTAAATATAACATGTAATCAAGGCTTTCATTAGAAACCAAGTAGAGAGCAGCGAGAAAGAGAGAGGACAAATATACCATACCTAGTTACAAACGTTACTTTCTGGAAGTTTGACAATCAGAGAGTTTCACTTACTTAGCTTGATTCTCTGTTACTTGCCTTCTCTACAAAACTGCTTTTCTGACTAATAAAGGCATGGAGTAGTTTTTGTAAGCAAGGAGAAACAATTCAGCGAAACAGCTTTGTAAGGAGCAACATCAATAGACATCTATGCCCAAAATTTGATGCCTGTGGTATTTTCCCTACAAATGTCTTATAGGCTAGTTCAAGGAGAAAAGTACCATAAAGTTTGAAAGACCAGCTAAATCAGTGGAAATTATACTCTCCCCATTTCCCATTAAGAACTCTATTCTCTTACTATGAAAACACCACTGTTCTTTCTTATCTCAGAGTGCAGGCTTTTCTGTAAACTGATGCCAAATGGGTAACATTTTAGTGAGACATTTGAAGTTGTGATATGCAACTCGGTGGGGGACAAACAAGGTCATTTAAAAGGTCTCTTCATTGAGAACATCAGAGTTTTCAAAAGATGCACACAGCCTTTCCTGGATAATTGGGAGTAAATGAAGAAAAAGCCCATAAACTACAAAAATTAAAAAAACATTCAGACGGAAACACTCAGAATTAAGAGTGAAAAAATATTATGAATGCTGATGCTAAATCTTAATACATAAAACCAAAGGCAATGAGTAAAAGAGCAAAGTAACTTAAGAAGTTGATGAACATAAATCAGTTGACAGCAGGCCAGGCACTCTGGCTCATGCCTGTAATCTCAACACTTTCAGAGGCCAACATGGGCAGATCACAAGGTCAGGAGCTCGAGACCAGCCTGGCCAGCATGGTTAAACCCCGTCTCTACTAAAAATACAAAAATTAGCCAGGCATGGTGGCGTGCACTTGTAATCCCAGCTACTCGGGAGGCTGATGTAGGAGAATCGCTTGAACCCAGGAGGTGGAAGTTGCAGTGAGTTGAGATCACACCACTGCACTCCAGCCTGGGCAACAGAGCGAGACTCCGTCTTAAAAAAAAAAAAAAAATCAGTTGACTGCAGGATTTAGGATTTAGCAAGGGAAAAAATAAACTTAGAACTAGAATTTGGGGATTCTTCTTTGCTTCTCTAGAAATTGAGGTATTGGACAAATCATTAAATCTTCATTGAACTTTGATCTGACAAATGGAAATGATATTAATACTATGAAGCCTCTACCTTGCCCTTGGAAGAGTATTTTAAGATTATGTGTACAAAATAATTTCTTCAAAAGACAGTATATTATACCCATTCGGTAAGAATATGCTAGATACAATAAAAAAACAAGTGTACTAAATAGCTGAAGTGCAAAGCTAATTTATAGACCAAGAGATATATATTCAGCACCTAGAATCTTAAAAAGGACATTAATTTAATTAATGTTAGCAGAGTCTATTATCTGGCTGGCCTCATAGGAAATAAACCAACCTTTGCAGTCTCACAGGTCAGGGTTAAGGACCTGTCTCCGGCCGGGTATGGTGGCTCACGCCTGTAATCCCAGCACTTTGGGAGGCCGAGACGGGTGGATCACTTGAGGTCAAGAGTTTGAGGCCAGTCTGGCCAACATGGTGAAACCCTGTCTCTACTAAAAATACAAAAATTAGCTGGGCATGGTGGCGGATGTCTGTAATCCCAGCTACTTGGGAGGCTGAGGCAGGAGAATTGCTTGAACCTGGTAGGAGGTGAAGGTTGCAGTGAGCCACGATCACGCCACTGCACTCCAGCCTGGGCAACAGAATGAGACTGTCACAAAAACAATACAAAACAAAAAGAACCTGTCTCCATCTCTAACTAACTTGTAACTGTCCAATTTTCTCACCCTCTTTGAGCCTTAGTCTCCTCATCTTTAAAATGGGATAAAAACAGACTCTATGCTGTTAACATAAGGTTTAAATAAAATTTGGGTGGGGGAATTGCCATATATTACATAATAAATATTGTTACTATCATTATAAATATTTTCAATATATATTAATATGTCCTCATACATATACTAAGTAAATTGCTTCATAAAATTTTACTTTACAGATGCAATTTGTTGCATTATTATATATGGCCAAGAAATTGATTAGAATGAGGTTGGAAGCCCTAATA